CTCACTGTTTCCATTTTTTGCCTATCTATTTACCATGAAGTGATGTGACCAGATGCAATGATCTTAGTTTTTTGAATGTTGAGTTTCAAGCCAGATTTTTCACTCCTCTTTCACTTTCATCAAAAGGCTCTTCAGTTCCTCTTCACTTTCTGCCATAAGGGTGGTGTCATCTGCCTATCTGAGGTTGTTGATATTTCCCTCAACAATCCTGATTCCAGCTTGGGATTCATCCAGCCCAGCATTTTGTATGATGTACTCTGCATATAAGTTAAATAAGCAAGGTGACAATATAAAGCCTTGACATACTCCTTTCCCAATTTTGAACCAGTAAGTTGTTTCATGTCTGGTTCTAACCGTTGCTTATTGACCTGAATACAGGTTTCTCAGAGTGCAGGTAAGGTGGTCTGGTATTCCCATCTCTTTAAGAATTTTTCACAGTTTGTTGTGATCCACACAGTCAAAGGCCTTAGTGTAGTCAATGAAGCAGAAGTAGGTGTTTTTCTGGGAATTCTCTTGCTTTTTCTATGATCCATTGGATGTTGGCAATTTGATCTCTGGTTCCTCTTCCTTTTCTAAATCCAGCTTGTACATCTGGAAGTCCTTGGTTCACATACTGTTGAAGTCTAGCTTGAAATATTTTGAACATTACCTTGCTAGCATGTGAAATGAGTGCAATTGTGTGGTAGTTTGAATATTCTTTGGATTTGCCCTTCTTTGGGATTGGAATGAAAACTGACCTTTTCCAGTCCTGTGGCCAGGACTCGTATGGCAGTTCAGTGACCTTTCTAAAAGCAAATCTCATCATGCCTAAGAGCTTGTACTCAGTCCAGACTCCTGGCTCTGACCCACAAGGCCATGCTTCACCTGACCGTGCAACTGACCAATCTGGATTCCTCCCCTTCCTTGGGACCCTCAGGCAGTTCTTGGGATGCTATATACCTCCCATTTCCATGCCCTTTGCTCACTGTACTTGCTCTGCCTGGAATTCTTCATTTTTCTACCTAAGGAGCCACCTGCCCCACCAATCCAAGGTAAGGGTGGCTATCCTCTTACAACTGTCAGGCTGTATTGAAAGGGCTTCCTGGTGCTTCTGTTCATGCCTAAAAGCATGAACGCAGGGTCTGCATCTTAATAATAGAATCCAACATCAATTAGGCTGTGGAGTTGATAATCCATTATCTCATCGGAAAAAATGGACACTATTGCTTCCATTTTGTAGATAAGAAAACTGAAATTCAGAAAGGGTTACTGACAGGGACTTCACTGACGACCCAATGGTTAAGATACAGTGCTTCGAAGGCAGGCTGCATGAGTTCAATCCTTGGTCAGAGCTAAGATCCCACACACTGGGTAGATCAGCCAGTTTGCTAAAGGTCAAAGACTTGAGCAGAGAAAACTTGAATCTACATACCCAACTCTAAACTTAGTGTACATGCTTTGTTTGCACAATCATCCCAAGAACATGCAGTAAACCCTCTCTGAGAGCCAAGTTCTGTGCTAAGTGACCACAACCCTGGAGACAGAAGCCATGTTCAAGCACTGTGCTCCTCTGCTGGTATCTGGTGACAGGTGTTTACAGAAGGGTTTCAGTATTGTACCTCCCACTTGTCCCTAAGAGGCACCATCTTGTAGGGTTATCCCAGAACCCCAGCTCGCTGAGAGCCTTTGGGATCCTGGCTCTGTTGTTCAAACTTTCTGTTCAGCCTCCCAGCTTTGTCTATCCACAAATCTGAACACTGAACCTCTCCAACCTCATTCAAGTTACCAATAAATAATCAATCAGATCAGAGCCAAAGAAAGAACCTTTATACCCCAGATAACCTGGGCATAAAAGACAGCCACATAATCAAGTCTCATCATGTCCTGAAGGTCCCGTTCAGCCTTGGCGGGTCTTCCCAGTTTCCCCACATGTAGATTGGGAGTGGTAGTACTGTCTGTATGTGGCATCTGATGGCATAGGTGGCATCTGTCCCTGTGTATGGCGGCAGATGAGATGACCTGGGATCAGGATTGTGTGGGGTTTGCCCTTGTAGGTCCAGCACCCAGCATGGTGCCTGGTACTCAGTGGGTACCCCAAAAAGGCTTGTTGAATGGAGGAGTGGATGACTTATTAGTGAACCCATCTGACACCTCCTGTTCCTTCTCTCATCCTAAACAGGAGTGTCATGGTCAGCCCTGGCCCTCGGCCCTTTTCACATTTATCCTACTACAGCTGTGACCTTGATTTGTGCCCATAAGGACAAATAGCTCCCAGTCTATATTCACTCTGTGACTTTCTCCTAGTCTGCAAGTCCTCATCCATACACTTCCCCATCTCTAGGATACCTCCTTCATAACCATCCATCCAATAAATATATTGAACTCCTCCCCCAGGTATCACCTCTGGGTAACCAATCAGAAATTGTCCCTGCTGAAGGAAGCTTTTCCCACTTTTCTAGCAAACAGACCCCAAATGCACAATCACATAAAGACACTTGTTAGAAGTGCCATAAAGCTGAAGCACAATTTTGTTTTATGAAAGTAAACTAAATGGTACCTGGTTCATCCTGGGGCGTGTGTGTATGTGTGTCAGGGAACACTTCCTGAAGGAAGTGACATTTAAGCCAAGAGCTGCATTGTCACAAAAGCCAGGAAATGAATGTATTTTAAGAAGGGTGGAGGGACTTCCCTGGAGGTCCAGTGGTTGAGACGCCACCTTCCAAAGCATGAGGGCACAGTTTCAATCCCTTGTCAAGGAACTAGGATCTCACATGCTGCATAGTGTAGCCAATAAGCAAATACAATTTAAAAAAGAGAAAAAAGAGAAGGATGGAGTGATAACCCTGGTATTCCGGTGGTTAAGAATCTGCTTGCCAATGCAGGGTACACTAGTTCGATCCTTGGTCTGGAAGGACCCCACATGCTGCAGAGCAACTCAGCCTGTGCGCCACAACTAGTGAGCCCATGCTCTGCAACAAGAGAAGCCACTGAAATAAGCCCATGCATCACAAGGAAGAGTAGCCCCACTCGCTGCAACTAGAGAAAGCCCACATGTAGCAGTGAAGACCCAGCGCAACCATTAATAAATTAATTAAGGAAGAAGGTGGAGGCAAAGACTTCAAATGCTGCTGAATTAACTTTGGGAAGGTTGTCAGAATGACTTGGCATAAATCAGACTGGATTGGGTGGAGGAGTGAATGAAAGGTGAGCAAATAAAGGCAGCAAGTGTAGATAACTGGAGAAGCTTGGCTGGGAGTAGAAGAAACATGTCAACATGGTAGCTATGTAGGATGTAGATCTGAGAAGGTCTTCAAGAATTTGTTTTTATTATTATTTTTTTTAAGAATTGAGAGACATAAGGTGTTAAATGCTGCTAGAAAGGAGCCATAAAGGTAATAGAGGAGATCCATAGAGGTAAAGGCAAAAATAAAGGGCTCAACCCATTTGTTATTCCTCGATTTAAGAAGTATCATTGAGCAACTGCCATGTGCCAGGCACTTTGCAAAAGATTGATGAGGTACTTGCTTTTAAGAAGCTTATTTTTCAGGGAGGGAGGTAAGAAATAAGTAACAATGATTTCAGTGAATGGTAAGTGTGATGCGGAGATAAAATGAGGTGATGAAACAGAAGGGTGCAGTTCTGGAAAGGGTGATGTAACAAGGCCCCGGTTGCAGCAGGAGTGTTTCTGCTAATCGATGCCTGGGGGACCTGAGCTGTCAGGGTAAGTCAGGGTTCAGTGACAGCACATGGGGGTGGGGAAAGGAACAGTGGGAGAACAGGAGGAAGTCACAGGGAGTTTGCAAATGTCAAAGAAGGCTAATTCCAGAGGCCTCTTAGAGATGGTGAAGAGTGGTAGAGGGTAGATGACCTCGGGGTTACCCTTTAGGACATGATCAGTAGGTCAACTGCTGACTCCAACCCGGCTCTGGGTGCTCAGACTCAACGTTACGAACCACAGACCCATCTCTTTCCCACCAAATCTGCTCCTGACTTCCCAGGCTTGAGGGTAGAGCCACCATTTTCCAGGTTGCCAGTGACTGGCAGCCTCAGATGTTTCCGACTGCTCCTTTCTCCCTCTCTGATACAGAGGATCAGGCCCAAACAGATGGGTGCAGAAGGATGCCCAAATCAAGTCCTTCCTGCTCTGCCGCTGCACATCCTCTTGGTCTTTCCTGCAGGAAGTCACATCCACCTCCTCACCCGACCCAACCCCACCCCACCCCACCCCACCCCACCCCACCCTGAAGATGCCTGCTCTCCTTGGTGGTAGGGAGTCCCTAGTCCAGTGATAAAATGGGAGATGTGTCTGGAAGGGTGAAGCAGTAGGCTAGGGAGGCTTCAGTCCCAGGGGCAGCAGTGGCCTTGCTTGGGGAATCAGGAACAAAAGTTCAGCTGGGCTGGCAGAGGAAGGAGTGAGGACTATGCCTACCTGCCTTGGTCCTCACTTCCTGACATCATGTCTCCTGGGATGGATGCCTTCTGAACCTTGCCTGCATCCCCAGGTGTCCCTTCCTTTCTTCTCTGCCTGGGCCTCAGACACCCCCAGAATGAGCTGCTGATTCTGGGCAGGTGGGCTGTTCAGTCCACCTCCCTGTGGCCTGAGAGCCACGTTAAGGGGTTTGGTGATTATCCTGCAAACCACAGGAAACCATAGGAGCAGCCCACTGAGAACTGGTGAGGGTCAGGCTGGGGTGCTGGTGGGGTGTCTGAGGGGTGGGATGAGGGAGGAGAATGTGAAGGAAGTGGGATCAGAGCCTAGTCACCTGCCCACTTGGTGTCTTGGGCTCCTCTTCAGGCTAGTTTCTGCCACAGCCTCTTCACCTGCCTGGCCCAAGGAACAGAGGACTTTATTTGCATAAGGAAAGGTCCAGATGGCTGTAAGAACTAGTTGGGATGAAGTTAGGTTCTGTCAACACCTGGGGCTCCTGCCCCTTTGAGAAATAGGTGTGGGAGGGTGGAACTGACAAATAAAAAGGCAGCCTTCCTGAGGAAGCAGTTGGTACATCTACAAGGGTCCCACAATGCCTGGGATGATTTGGCTATCTCACCCGCTAGTGGTGTTATTCCTGGTGGCCCTGCTAGGGGCTGTCTTGCTGGGGGCCACCGTGCTCTTCTGGCTGCAGGCTCCAGCACGAAGCAAGATCCCCAGGGCGCAGAAGCGTAGGGAGGAGGCTCTGAGGCGGATGGCAGCCCTGGCAGAACGTCTCCGGCAGCAGGTGAGTGAACACTGACCCTCAATCCCAGTAGTGGGTCCCACCTCAGGACAGAGCTCCTCCCATGACCTCATCTCCTTCAGAAGACAGGGAGCGCCCGCCCCTCCTCCCCACCAGCTCCCTAAGCTGGCTTCTTGTGTCCCTATCAGTTCCTCCTTCATCTGTGTCCTTTGAGCCCCTTGAGGTCAGGGGCAGTGTGTTTTCTTTTTCTTCCAGTGCCTGTCACAGGGATTGGCTGCATGGTGGGTATTTACCTGGGCTATTTGTTGAAGTAAAACTGATGGAGGCAACTGGAGGTAGGAGGCCAGGCTTCTTTCAGCCCCTGAGCACCCTTAGACCCCACTGAGACAGGACCCTGGTCTTCAAATTCTGCCTCCGGTCCCCTTCATACCCCAAGTGGGGGTTCTGCAAATGTTTGCTGAGCACATCACAAATGCAAAACACTGGGGATCACTGAAGGTGGGGTCTTCACAGGAAGTTTTCTTTCCTTTAATTGTTAAGAGCACAGGCTATGAAGTGAATCTGAGTTAATTAATTTTTTTGTCCTTTAAACTTCTAATTTTATATTGGGGTATAGCTATGGTAGTTTCAGGTGGACTTCAGAGTGACTCAGCCATGTATATGCATGTCTCCGGGTATCCATTCTCTGCTAAACTCCCCTTCCATACAGGATGCTGTATAACATTGAGCTGAGTTCCCTGTGCTATACAGTAGATCCTTGTTGGTTACCCGTTTAAAACATAGCAGTGTGTACATGTTGATCCCAGACTCCCTAACTATCCTTTCCCTGTATCCTTCCCCCTGGCAACCTTAAGTTCGTTTTCTAAATCTGTGAGTCTGCCAATTTGACTGGCAATGGTGGAAGACAACGAGGCACTCATTGTGGCTTGCAGTTGAGATGTAGGTCTGTCTGTCCCGAGAGGAGCCTGTCCATAGTGGCAGAGAGTGGGGAGGGAGAGGCATAGAGACAACTCTATACTGCGACTGTGGTTTGTTGGGTAGCCTGCACGATGTGACCATCCTTTTTCTGGGCCTTGGATTCCCCATCTGCCCAAGGAGAGGTGGGCTCGTGGTATCTTTGGTGATTGTGGTAGACTCCCTCTGGGAGTGGGGGTTGGGGTAGTGCCTGAGGTGCTGTCCCCATGCTCCAGAGTTCCTGAGTGTCCTTTGCCATCTCCCTGGATGGTGATTGATGGCCCCGGTGGACAGTTCCTCTGCCCTAGCTGCTGCAGTTTCTGAGACTGTGTATTAATATTAATTGGGGCTAATTAGTTGGATAAATCAATCTGCCCCCAGAGAGCAGCTGCCCCTCCCTGGTTGAGGAGGAGGAAATCTGGGCTAATGGGGTTACTGCAGCGATTCCGTGTGATGGAGAGGATTCCTGTGTGTGCGGGGAGGCCCCATCTGTGCAAAGTGGTAGGTTTAGGTTCCTACACTGCAAACACCAGGGTCTGCTAATGTGTCCCTCCTGTGTGCTGGCTGGGTGTGTGTCTGCTATGAGCTGTTTGTGTTCGGTTATGTGCCTTTGTGTAGGCCTGGCTGAGTGTATATGTGTTATTCATTGGGGTATATTCATCTGGATATGTGTGGCTGGTTTGGGTCTGTATGTTTGGTTGAGTATGTACCCATGTGATTATGCCTAGTGTGTGAGGATGTCTGGTTTTGGGTGTGTCTAGGCATCTGGTTGGTGTACGTGTGGATATCTGGGATAGGTAGCTATTAGGCTATACCTGGAAAGCGGTGTCTGGTTGGCTGGAAGACTGTAAAGGGTTTGGAGTGAGATCACCCATGGAGTCTCCAGGCTTCCCTCAAAGTCTCTTGGCTCTCAGCACCTTATTCTCTTCCCAACAAAGTTATACAGGTCTGTCCTGAGCACCTTTCCAATCAGATCTCTCCTCTGCCAGGGTTACCCTCAAGGTCAGGTGAGCAGCTTTCTGACCTAGGCGGATGTGAGGCTGAAACATAGGTCAAACCCTCACAGGGTTCAAACAAATCCAATTCATTTCCATTTAGGAACATTTCACAAAGGATTCTCCTGGGTCTTGCCTCTGCTGCACCCTGAGGACAGATGCATTATTCAGATAATCTGACATTTGATGTCTGACCCAAGCTTGCCTTAAAGAGACTCCCAGTCTGGGTGGGGTGTGATGGAGGCAGAGCTGCAAGAACCATGTAGGGAGGCAGGCAGTTCAGCTGAGGGTGGCAAAGGTCAGATGCCCTCAAAGCTGTGGGACTTGGCAGGAGAGGTGATCTGCTACCTGGAGAGGGTTGTGTGCGGAAGGCTTCACAGAGAAGTGGTTGTGGAACTAAGCCTTGAAGGATATGTAGGAGTTTTTTCAAAAGGAGGAGGGAACAAGAAAGGCAGTACCAGAGAGAGTACCTGAGGTAAGGCACTGTTTCTATGAAGTGGTGGGGAGGCGGGGGAGTGTCCCCAACCCCGGGAACCTCACAGCAGGAGGTGAGTGGCAGGTGAGTGAGCGAAGCCTCATCTGTATTTACAGCGTCTCCCCATTGCTTGCAACCCCCCCAACCATGAGAAAATTGTCTTCCATGAAACCAGTCCTTGGTGCCAAAAAGATTGGGGACTATTGCTATAGAACACTTAGAAAATAATATTTGTAGGGTCTACTGACTGACAGCTGTTGGCTAGGAGGCTCTGGTCACTTCAGGTGGAAACTGCCACCCTGAAGGTTGAGGGATTTTTTGATATTAAACATATGTAATGACCACTTTGGAAATATTAATAACCAATTTACTAAAAACTTTGAAGTGCATTTTCTTTGATTTCCAAACCACACATAGAGGCAGCACTAGCCGAGTGTGCAGAAGGCCAGATGTCCTGGGAGCTGTGGGGCTTGGCTGGAGGGGGTGATTTGTTCTAAACTATATACTAAAATGGCTTAAAAGTGATATAAGTTGAAGTTCAATTCTTTCATCAAATTATTGTAATAATTTCTGAATAATTTGTTGATTTTTTTGAAAATTTGTGGGGCTCTTCTGATATGGCTATCATCTTTTGAAGATGTCCCTATCTTTCAAGCTTTATTAAGAGCTTTATTAAGCTCTCTCAATAAGCTGAATCATTAGGTGACCTGCAGTCTCATTAAGTAGAGACTTTCAACACTAATGCATCATTCCTTAGGCTGAGTCTTGCTCAGTTTCTGCTGAACCAGTAGCAGTGACGCGCAGAATTCCTGGCTCTTCTGATACCTTTTGAGATTTTATATAGTCTTCAGGGATCTCTGTTGTTAACAATAAACATTGCTATTAGAATGTCATATAAATTTCATTGAACCTAATCTTAAAAGCCTTTGGAAAAGTTTTGTAACACGCTGGTTAAGAGTGTGGTAGTTAAGACAGTGCTGGACTGCCTGTGTTCGAATCCTGACTCTAACGTTTACATTTTAAATAATTCCTCTGTGCCTTAAACTACTCACTTCTATGATGGAGTGACCATTATACTTATTGTCCACAAGTTAATAATTTTGACAGTGGTGCCTCGGTATACAGCAAGCATTTTCCAAGTGACATTCTCATTTCAGCAATAATGTTGTCCTTGCTGAGTGGGATTCTAGTGAGTTTCAGTGAATTTGTTCTAGTAGATTTGTTCCATTCATCAGGGTTGGTAAAACGCTTTCTCGGACCCTTGAAAGCCCCCCACCCTAGGTCACTGGAGCGCTGGCAGGGGGCAGTCCCAGCAGAGGCCTGCAGGGCCACCATTCACACCTCCCTGGCCTTCTCTCCCATCTCTCCCCAGTTCCTGTCAGGCTGTCATTTTCACCAGTGGCCACACAAGGACAACTGCCAGGGAGCAATGGCTTCCAGGGTCTATATGGATGATGGGCACTTGTCCACATCATGCCACCAGGGGAGCCCTCAGAATAAAGTTGCAACAACATTCTCTTTCTACAAGGGTCACCATAAACATCTAATGTGTTCACATATAGATACACCAATATTCTCAGTTACCTGGTACTTACTGCACTAGGAACATGCCATGGGTTTTATACAAGTAGTTATGTCTCAGGCGGTAAAGAACTTGCCTGCAATGCAAGAGACACAATTTCAATCTCTGGGTCAGGAAGATCTCCTGGACAAAGAAATGGCTACCGACACCAGTATTCTTGAGCTTTCCCAATAGCTCAGCAGATAAAGAATCTGCCTGCCAAAGCAGGAGACACAAGAAATTCAAGTTCCACTCCTGGGTCGGGACAATCTTTGGAGGAGGAAATGGCAACTCACTCCAGTATTCTTGCCTGGAAAATTTCATGAATGGAAGAGCCTGGCGGGCTACAAGCCAAAGGGTCACAAAGAGTCAGACATGACTGAGGGACTGAGGACAACAACTACACGTGTTACTCTGGCCATAGTAAAGAGGCTGAGTTGGAAGGGTAAAGACTAGAGGCCTGGAGGCCAGTGAGGAGGCTAGAAGAAAACTGAGAGACAGAGAAGGTTCTAGGCAGGAAGGAGTCTGAGAAGTCAGAAGTGGGAGATTTGAAGAAGGCAGAACCACCTGTCAGCACTGAGTGTGGATAAGAGAATGGTGGCTGGGACTACACTTCCCAGTGAATCTAGATCCTTGGGTAAACAGCTCTCTGCCTCAGCATCTTCTTCTGCTGTAAAATGAGAAAATCACACAGCTTACTTCCTAGAGTTGTTGCAAGGAGTAATATAAACTATTATATGTAAAATTCTTAGAATGTGGCCTGACATATATTTAAGTGTTGTAACACATTTTATGTGTAATTGTGTTGGTATTTATCTAGCCATGATCAGAACTTGGGGTGAGGATCCAAGGGCTCTGAGAGTCACTGTGTTGATGACACAAGTGTCATCGGTTAGGAATCTCATGAAGAGGAACAGGTTTGACAGAAAAATGATGAGTCCTGGATGTCTGTGGGCCCATGGGTGGGTAAAGGGGCCTGAGGCCTGATAGGAAGTGGGTCTGGACTGGAGAAATGGGGAGAACTAGCCGCTGAGTTCACCAGAGAAGGTAGACAGGTAGGGAGAGAGGTAACCAACATTTACTGGAGGAAGAGGGTCAGAGGAGACTGCGCAGGAATTGCTGGAAGGGAGAGGGAAGTCAGGGGTGTTGAGGGCATAGAGAGCTTCCAGAAGGAAAGTTTCTAACAGTCAGATGCTACAGAGGAGAATAAGATGAGGACTGGAAGAGTCCAAGAAGCCTCGAAGCTCCAACCTCCCAGGAAAATCCCTCTGTCTCCCTACCTCCACTCCAGGACCAAGAAAGGCCCACCCAGCCCACATTCCAACTTGAAGGCATCAGGGGCTCAGCTGGGACCATGGAGGACAAAGAGAGGCAACTTCATCTTCTTGAATGCCCACTGTGTGCTGGGTCCTTGATTAGGAGTCCTCAGGGTAGTTCAGGCTTTGCCTTACACTCCAGGGGCTGGGCTCAGGGCAGCTTGGGGGGCTTGTCTATGCTCCGCTGCATGGCTGACTCATGACTGTGTTCTGATACTTTCCTCTCTGAGGAGACCTAGGCCATCGGAGGGGAAGGGGTTCACCTGAGTTACCCCACTGACTAGGGCTGTGGTCAAGGCTGGCTCCCAGCTCTCCTGCCACCCTGACCTTTCCCCAAGGTCAGATCAGCAGGTACGGGAGGACCAGAGAAGAAGGAAAGGTGGGATGCTGCGGGGGTGACTCCTGAAGGCAAACCTCACAGAACTGAGCCTCACTTTTCATAAGCCCTGCATCCCAAGATGTTCATGTAGAGTTCCTCCTCCTCCTTGGGTGGCCCTGCTGGATAGCTGCATGAGGAGGGGCCCGGCCTTCTCTGCGCTGGGCCCTGGGGTTGGACTCTGGGGAGGCCGACACAGAGGAGGACACTTGTGCCCCTGGAGGGCTCTTATGCCAACCTGGAGACCGATTGGGAGATGTCTTTAAAGCTAAGGATGGGCCCAGGAACATGTGATGAGTACTCTGTGTCAACCTGGGCATGATGTTGATGGTGGGGGGCCCTGAGTGGAGCAGTGTGATATCTGCCTGCCCCCCCTGTCTCTGCAGGAGCCAGAACTGGACCCCAAGCCCATTCTGGAGCTGCCGTTGGAGAAGCTGGTTCAGAAGCTGCTTGCTGATGAGCTGAGTTTGGAGAGTGTCCTCTGCAGCTACCTAGAGGAGGTGCAGTCCCAGTCAGAGCCCAATCCTGGGGCTCTGGGTGGAATAGTTGGGGGACAGGTGTAACCCTGTGGCACTGCAGCCAGCTTGGGAGGGAGCTTGTGCCACAGTCATCCGTCACTTCTGCTCTGAATCAGGATGGGCAGAGGGGCTGAGGTGACTCAGTGTCCTATGCCTGGTCACGCCCTGAGCCCCTCTCTGGTTTCCCTCAATGATGCTCAGGCACTGAAGGTACACCAGGAGGTGAATTGCCTGACGGATTTCCTAGATGAATGTGAGGATCAATTGCAGGCATTGAAGAAACTCAAGAAGAGTGAGCGAGGACTCCTCTATGGGGTCCCCATCAGTCTCAAGGACACCTATGACTGCATGGTAAGCCTTGGGAATACACATGCATGTGTACATGTGAGCATCTGTGTGTGTGACATTGGCAAGTTACTTGCCCAGTCTAGGCACCATGGTTAGAAAGTGGGCAGCTGGAAACCAAACCAGCCGTCAGGCTCCCAAACCCAATCTCTTCACCATTGATCTCTCCTGTCACTCATGGATCCTAAGGGTGTAGCGCCTGCATCTCAGCAGGTGAGAGAATGCTTGTGAGTGGGAGTGGAGCGCAAGAGAGAGTCTGTTCGGTGGCTGGTTCCACTCTGACCCCCAGGGGCTGGAGCTTGTGTCACTTCCCTGCAGGGCCATGACTCTTCTTGTGGCCTGGCCCAGTTCCTGGAGAAGCCGGCAGCCAAGGACGGAGTCATTGTGAAAGTGTTAAAGGCTCAGGGAGCTATTCCCTTTGTTAAGACCAACGTCTCCCAGACACTGCTCAGGTCTCTGCAACAGGCAGGTCAACCTGGGCTGGGGCAGGGGCCAGAGCCGGGACCGGGGCTGGGACCAAGGATGGGCCCAGGATGAAGCTGCCACTGAAGGGCTGAGGGTGAGGTGGGGCTGGTCATGTACACCTTGGGACGGAGGTTCTTGGGCAAGTCTTTTCTGCCCTCTGAGCCTGTGTCCTCATCTGACAACACTGGACTCCATGGTCTTTAAGGGCCCTCAGGCCCAGAGGTACTGAAAAGTTACATCTCTGTTTCTACTCCAGCTCTCTAATTGTTCTCATTCCCTATTCTCCTCCCACCCCACTCAGCCGGTAGTGCATCTATTTCTATCTGTTTCTGTAACTTGTTGCCCACTATCCAGCAGAGCTGTGGGCTCCTTGATTCTCATTTTAGGAGTCCTGATTGGTCACTCCTGCAGCAGCAGCCTCTTGCCTCAACTGAAGGGACACCAGGAATTTCCTGGCCCACGAGGGGAGCTCACCGGTCCTGGGGCTGACTCCAAGGGAGGTTGGCCTCTCTTTGGGCAGAGCAGTCTTCTCCAGTTATATCTTCCCCTCCCAGCTCCATTTCTTCTGCTTCCCTCAGCTTTGATTGCAGCAACCCCATCTATGGACAGACTCTGAACCCTCAGAACTTAAAGAAGACGCCTGGGGGCTCCTCAGGGGGTGAAGGGGCTCTCCTGGCAGAAGGGGGTTCCATCTTGGGCATGGGTACCGACACTGGAGGCAGTATCCGTATTCCAGCCAGCTTTTGTGGTGTCTGTGGTATCCGGGTCACAGGACACCGTCTCAGGTACTTGGTGGTGGGGGGTCTGGGTTGGCTCAGCCCAGCCTGGAGGAACTAGGGGTCTTGTCCATATAACGATTCTCATTAGCTCAGTACTAGGGGAAGTGGACAAGGTAGGAGGGCTTCCAGTAACAATTGCCTCAGCCCCGCAGCTAAACACACCGTTTGGTACAGGAGGGAGTGGGTAGACTGTCCACTTATTTATTATTTCATTAATTCATTCATCCGTCCATCTGTTCATCTACTCCCCACCACTTTTCCTTCCTCATACATCAATCCATCCACTTATCCATCAATATCAATTTCTCATCCATTCATGCATCCTTGCAGTCGCCATCCCAGTTTCTATCCATCAAACAATTTCACCATTCATCTGCCATTTAATTTATTTGACAAATGTTTATTGAGTGTTTACTCTGTGCCAGACACTGAACTAGGTACTTGGGATGCATCAGTGAACAAAATGGACAATTATCCAAGCCTTTGAAGAACTTAACACACATCCTTCCTTCCATTCATTTATTCGTTCATTTGGACATTTATCTCTCCATCCTCTACTCAACTAGCCATCCATTAATCCACATTTGCCTCCATTCATCCATCCACCCACCAATTCATCCATATTTCCATTAATTTTTCCATCTGTTTTGCACTCACTCATACATCTATCCACCAATTCACCCATATTTCAACCCCACTCTGACTACCTACACTGTGTAGCCCTAAACAGGGACACAGAACACTCTCAGGCCCAGCCCCCAGCCCTGTTGTGTTCTTTAACATCCAACTGGCTTATACCTGATGCAAAGAGCTGACTCATTTGAAAAGACCCTGATGCTGGGCAAGATTGAAGGCAGGAGGAGAAAGGGATGACACAGGATGAGATGGTTGGATGGCATCACCGACTCAATGGACATGAGTTTGGGTAGACTCTGGGAGTTGGTGATGGACAGGGAGGCCTGGCGTGCTGCGGTCCACAGGGTCACAAAGAGTCGGACACGACCGAGCAACTGAACTGAACTGAATCCTGGCTTAAGAGAGGGTCAAAGAGAGGGATGAATTTGACATTTTCTTCAACAGAATTTATTAAAGGCCAAGTTTTACAAGCAGGTCAAGGGCAGGGAAAACTTCCTGGAGGAGGCAGCATTTGAGCTTGGTTTTGAAGGATGAACATGCTGAGTTGGAGAAGCATCTTCAGTTCAGTTCAGTTCAGTCACTCAGCTGTGTCCGACTCTTTGCAACCCCATGGACTGCAGCATGCTCGGCTTCCCTGTTCATCACCAACTCCTGGAGCTTGCTCAAACTCATGTCCATCGAATAGCATCTAGAAGGCTGTAATTTTATAAGCAGCCTATTTTGCCTGGAGCAATGTGTGAGTATGTGTGGAAGGGCTAGAAAAGGAAGTTATGGAAAGAGTTGATAATTTAGAGCCCTGAAGGGCAGTAAAAGGGCTCAGATTTATGCTGTGAATAGTAAAGAGTCATGGGAGGGTTGGGGCAGCTCTTATTCTTGTGTGCTGGGCCCTGGGGGAATGCACTGGCTGGGTGTTCAAGCCTGTTTGGCACCTAAGTCCTTCCCTTCAGGTCCTGAGCTGGGCTCTGGGTGGGTGGGTTTTGCAGCTACTCTGGAGTTGCCTCTGCTGTCAAGGGCAGGAAAGCAGGTAAGCTCTTGTCTGTGTTGGCCACATCCATTCAAAGGCAACGTGCTTGCCTTTCTCCCAAAGACATTTCACTGTATCTCAGACAGACCAGCACCACCAGTGACCAAGGAGTATGGGGGAAGGTTCTGCTTGGCTTTCTAGTCCAGTGACCTTTGCCCCTTGGAGAGGTGCTTCCTGTTCTCTAGCTTTCACCTCGCTTGCTGGTCTCCTAGTGTTCTGCCCCAGAGGAGACTCTCCCTTAAGGCCAGAAGGTTGTTTGAGCTAGTCTGCCAACTCCACTCATTCTCAACCCCTGACCCAAGATGGCCCCACGGCCTCTTCACTTTGCCCTGATCATGACCTTGGGTCCCACCCTCTGAGGCTAGGCAATGTGGGTCCCCAGAGCAGAAGGAATGCGACATGTCTGCCTCTTTCCACCCGCTCTGTTCAGGGATCACAGTGGCTGGCCCCTTGGCCAGGGATGTGGAGAGCCTGGCACTGTGCCTGCGAGCGCTGCTGAGTGAACACATGCACCGACTGGACCCCACCACACCCTTCCTGCCCTTCAGGGAGCAGGTGAGCTGGGTAGGGAGCAGGCCTGGAGGGCTCCCTCTCCTCTCCCTTCAGTCCTCAACAACCAGCCACTAGGAACATTCCCTGGGAAGCCTTCCTTTCCCAGCCCAAGGTGCAGTGAGCGGGAAGCCCACATGCTCAGTCAGTTCATTCCCCAACCTGACCAGATGCCAGCTGCTTTGGCTTCTGTGCCACCTGGAGCCATAGATGATATTACTCCAGAGAGGAACTCCATCATCATTTATCCAACACACAGGGGCAGTAAACTCAGCAAGTGTGGTGTAGAGAGCCTGGTATCAAGGGAAGCTGGGCTGTTAGGCCGCTACGTAACCCTGGCTGAGTCACATCTCTTCTCTAGGCCTCAGCCTCCACATTGGTACAATGAAGATGTTGAACCAGAACTTTGCTCCAGACCCTTCTAGCTCTGCCTCTTCATTTTTGCATGAACTCACTCAGGAACACTTATTGGTACCTACTATGTGGTGGCTCTTTGTAGTTCATACTAACACTCACTCTATAGAATGGGTGTCACTCCTCCCATTGACAAGTGAGGAAACTGAAGGGAAGTGAAATGACTTTCTGATGATCACATAGTGACTTGGAACCCAGCCCTATCTGACTCCAGGATCTGCTGCATAGGGAGAATCTTTGTCTACCATTCAGCCAGTGTCTATTCATCTGATTCCCTACACATATTGTAGTGCAATCAGCCTGTGGTCAGTCTGTTATCTATTATTTGCCTCTATTGGTCTCTTCATTCTTTTCCTCTCCTGACCCTTTTTTGGCTTTAAGATATTTGTGTCTATTCATGTACTTACTTGCCTGCCTGCCCACTCACCTCCATCCATTCATTTATCCACCCACCCATTTATCTGTTTAACCCTTGCCCACTCACCCATTTACCATCTCATATACCCACCCATTCATTCGTGAATCTGTTTAACTATCCACTCCAGCTATCCAATCAGTCATGTCCCCATCCATTTTTTCCTCTTCTGGAGGGTTCTTCAGAGGACCTAAACCCTGGAGAGTATATAGGGAGGCTTCAAGGGGCCCTTGGAATGAGGCCACCTTGTCTTCTGGCCAATCTCCTCTCAGAGCCCTACCCAGCCCCTCTTTCCCTAAGGTGTACTCCAGTAACCGTCCCCTTCGAATTGGCTACTATGAATCAGATGGCTTCACCCAGCCATCACCTAGCATGGCCAGGGCTGTGAAGCTCACATCCAAGCTGCTCCGGGACGCAGGACACCAGGTAGGCTTACTTAGCCCTTGGGAGGGAGGCCAGATCAGTGAGGATGCTGGGCTGGTCCATTCTTGGAGAGAAAGGTTACTTCTGAGTTTGTGCTAGTGAGATCACTGTGTTTCCCCTAGGCTTCCTGGAGACTGACGGAGTGGAGGTGGGGGCAGAATGGGTCCCATCCCCTGAGGAAGGCATCCCCCTTCAGTAGCAGGAACTCTGAGACTCAGTCCTGTAATTCCTAGAGCTTGGGTTTCTGTTGTCTCCATCAAATGGCTGTAAGGAGTCTCTTGTCCTCAGAGTGCCCCCCTCCTTCCCCTACTTCCCATGCCCCAGCGGCTTGTCCCTGCCCCACCACCCCTTTGAGGATTGCTGAGCCAGTCTCTTCATCTCTATGAGCCTCAGGTTGCTACTGCACTGGGTGGCTGTGATGATTGAATGAGCCCCCAATAAAGCACTTGGCAAGGGGCTGGATCACTGTTAAGCAAGCAGCTCAAATTCTGCCTCATCTCTGTGTGGGGGTGAGGGAGTGGGCAGAGCCCAAATGCTTCCCAAGCTTGCTGAGTAACTGATGTGGTATTCTCTCTTTAATTCCTGAGGGATGCAGAGAGAACATGGGGTAGAGCGGGAGGAGCTCCAGGCCCTGACTCGGCCTCTCTCTCCCCAGGTCATCCCCTTCTCTGTTCCCCGAACAGAGTATGCCTTCTTTCACCTGTTCCTAGGGAATCTGTTGGCTGATGGAGGGGCTATCCTTCTGGAGAAACTGTATGTCTGCTGGGACTCAGATGTGGGGTGTGGTGGAAATGGGGTTGAGGAAGGGGCTGGTGGCAGCCGAGCCCTAGGTGGGGAGCTGCAGGCCTGGGCTGCTTTGGTGCCTCTGGCTCATTGTGTGACCCTAAGCAGCAAGTCACCCAACGAAGCCCTGCCTTTAGGACGCACATGTTCTGGGGTGGTGCTGCTGGGAATAGAGTATTTCTTTGGGTCAAACCTCTCTCTGTAGCTTATCTACAGTGGGGAAGCTGATGGCTGGGTGACGGCCAGCTGAAAGCCATAACTGACCAGCTGTGTGTCTGTGGTTCCTCAGTCAGGGGGACATTTTGGACCCCTCCATGAAGGACATAGTCACCTTTCTCAGGTTGCCAGACTCACTCAAACGTTTCTTGGCCTGGATCTGGAAGTATTTCGTGAGTGTGGGTTTAGAATGGGAGGGGCTGGAGTGGGGAGGGGCCCAGAGAGGACAAGGGGCTCAGAAAGGGGAAGGGGCTCCCTTGGAGGTGAGGAGTGGGGTGGGGGTGGGGGTCAGGTCAGAGAGGAAGATGAGGCCCAGAGAATGTGCTGGTTCAGAGAAAGACTCAATGGGAGAGGAACTGAAAGAAGGGAGATGGGGGTCAAAAGAGAGCAGTGCTGTCTGAGAGGGGAGGGGGCTTCAGAGAAGCTCAGAGAGATGGGCCTTCAGTGAGAGGGAAGGGGATTTAGAGAGGGGGATCAGGGTTTGGTGCTGTGGTCAGGGCTCTGGTGGGGAGCGGGGCAGAGTTTCCCTTCCTAGACCCCTGTCCCGGGCAGATGCCATTGCCCCATGGTTTCTGAAAGTGCCCTCCCCCTCTCTCCCCACCTCCAGGAGCCCCGGGTTAGCCAGACTTGGCTAATGTTGTGTGGAGCAGGGTAAGTGATCAAGGCTCCTCAGGTCCAATTCACAAGGGGTTTCCTTGGGAACTGGGTGAGTGTCATGTGGCTGGAGGCCTTGTCCACTGTGAGCAGGGCTGTTTAAGGCTTTGGGATCTAATAAGGGCTTTAGAATCATGCCCAGCATGGGGTTAAATTTAGACTTTTGGGTGGGACTGGGGTTTACTTTGGAGTTGAACTCTGAGTACACACTAGAATTGAGTTAGGTTGGGACAAAAGTCAGACCTGAGTTGAAGTTAGGTTTGGGTCAGGGTTGGGGTTAAGATTGGAGTTGGGGTGAGGATGCGGTTGGGAGAGGAGTCTGGTTTGGGTTTGCTGTTGGGCTTGGCCTGGTGGGCTTGGAATTGAGGTGCTAGTTGGAACTGGGGCTGGAGCAGCCTGAGGGTTGACCTGGGGCCTCATAGTTTAGGGGAAGGGACCTGGGGTTTCAAGGGACCCTGTGGGTTCCTGTCACAGGTGGTGGGGCTTTGACCAGGGGATGGGTCCTCTTGGGAACATTGGAGAAGTAATGGGTCTTGGCCAGGGGACAAGATACAGGGTGATTCCCAGACCATCAGCTGATTTGCAGCCTGCATAGAGTCCAGAACTTGCCTCCTGGGTGTCATGCCTCATTTGTATAAAAAGCAGTCCTCCCATGCTGACCTTTGGACTTCTCCTTCTTCCTCATTCCCCAGGACACCCAAGAAACTGTGGGAGCTGCACAAAGCAGTGGAGGTAATACCTGCCTGGGGAGACCTCGAGGGATGGCCAGAATTGGGGCAGCAGACCCCTGGGTGGTGACAGAAGTAGCCCAGCAGATGGTAGATCTCTGTCTTGGCCTTCAGGGGAAGCTCAGCTGCACCCGGATGATGACCAGGAGGTTAATGTAGTCTGTCTCCCTGGGGCCAGGATGATACATTGTCCCCAGATTACTGTAGCTTGAGACTGTCCTTCCCATCCCTCCTCCTTGGCCCCTGGGAAGACTCTGACTTCCCCCCACCCCACCCCCATCTCAGTCTGCACCTCACAGCCTGGGAATTCTTCCTGGTGTTTAACCTGACTCAGCCTGGTGGCGTCTGATTTTGTCCTGTGAACAGTGACCTCTGCCAGTCTCACCTTTCCTGCCTGCCACTATTCCTGCAGGAATATCAGCAAGAGTTCATAGCCAAGTGGAGGTCCCTGGACCTGGATGTGCTGCTGTCTCCAGCTCTGGACCCCGCCTTCTATATTGGCTATCCTGCCAAGGCAAACAGTGAGAGAACATTGGGTCCTTGGCAGGGGGTGGGGTTGGGGTGGGGGTGTGGTGTCCAGGACTTCTGAGTCCTCCCACAGCCTCTGGCCTTTACCTCTGATGTTAGTTACTATTTTAAAAAATTTTCTTAAATGGAGATAAAATTCAGATAACACAAATTCACCATTTAAAGCCTACAACTCAGTGGTTTTGAGTATATTCAGAATGTCATGCAACCACCACCACTATCTGGTTCCAGAACATTTTAATCATCCTGAAAAGAAAACTCGTACCCGTTATCAGTCCCTACCAATTTTCATTCCCTTTGTTTGTTTGTTTGTTTTGGCTTTATTGTGAAGTTTCTGGGATCTTAGTTCCCTGACCAGGGATCGCACCTGTGGCCCCCTGCAATGGAAGCACGGAGTCCTAAGCACTGGACGACCAGGGGATTTCCTCCATTCACTTCAAATTTTTTTTAAAGTTTATTTCACTGCAGTGGATCTTAGTCACATCAGGCAGGATCTAGTTTCCTGACTGGGGATCGAACCTAGGCCTCTTACCCTGGAAGCATAGAGTCTTAGCCACTGGACCACCAGGAAAGTCTCTCCATTCACTTTTTAAATGAACTTTATTGAAGTATAATTTGCATGAGATAAAATTCACCAGTTTTAAGTAACTTGGTGAATTTTAACATATGTATGTATACATGTATCAGTTCAGTTCAGTTGCTCAATCATGTCCAACTCTGCAACCCCATGGACTGCAGCACACCAGGCTTCCCTGTCCATCATCAACTCCCAGAGTTTGTTCAAACTCATGTCCATCAAGTTGGTGATGCCATCCAACAATCTCATCGTCTGTGTTCCCCTTCTCCACCACCTAATCACAATAGAGACTATTTCCATCATTAGCCAAATTTCCTTCATGTTCTGTTGCATTTCACACCACCACTGGTCTGCTTTCTATCACTATAGTTTTGCCTCATCTAGGATTTCATATAAGTAAAATCAAAAGGTATGAGGTGCAGGGGTCTGACTTCTTTCTCTTAGCATACCCATTCACTCTTATGCTTTCTGTAGCCTCACTTCCAGAGGTGGCCTCAGCCCAGCAGCCCACCTGCAGATGCAAGCAAGCCTCAACACAGGGCAGCCACCCATGTGTAGTGCAGGCGCAGGTCTCAGACGCAATGCCATGCAGAATGCAAATCCCCTTCAAGCCTGGGCTCCTCTCCTCTGGGTCCCCCTACAGTGGTCGCCCAAGGCATATCCCACATGTGGCTCTGCTCTAGTGTCCTCTGTCCACCTCCCTGACACTCTGATGCTCACTCCCTGCACACAGGTGGCTCCTGGGAGGAGCTACATTTTCAACTCAGGATTGCACTCCAGCCCTCTTGGAGTCCTGAGTACTGGAGGGCATAGCTGCATCCTCTGCCAGCCACTACTTGTGTATCTGTCTGCCTCATTGGTTTCCCATTTGTACACAGGGAATAGTAATCCTCATCTCACAGAGGAGGGAAGGAGTCAAGGACTCAGCAGTGTAGAGAGGGGAGTGCAGTGCCTGGCACTGAGTAAGGCTTTGCAGTGTGGATTCTTTTTATATATAAAAAAAATTATTGGCATATAGTGATTTACAATGTTGTCTTAGTTCCAGGTGTATAGTAAAGTGAATTAGTTATACACACACACACACACACACACACACACCCCCCCCATGAGCCACAACTGTGATACAGTCAAATTAAAAAAAAAAAAAACAACAATGTAATGAGGCCAGGGTGGCTCTGCCTTCAATGCAAGAGACACAGGTTTGATCCCTGGAGAAGAGTGGCAACCCACTCCAGTATTCTTGCCTGGAGAATCCCATGGACAGAGGAGCCTTGCAGGCTACAGTCCATGGGGTCGCAAAGATACGGACACATCCGAGCTACTAACACACATGCATATACCCGCTATTTTTTTTTTTTTAGATCCTTTTCCCACATAGGCCATTACAGAGTACTGAGTAGAGTTTACCTGTGCTATGCAGCTGGTTCTTATTAGTTATATATTTTATATATAGTAGTGTGTATCAGTTAAGTCGTGTCTGACTCTTTGTGACCCCATGGACTGCAGCATGCCAGGCTTCCCTGTCCATCATCAACTCCTGGAGCTTGCTCAAACTCATGTCCATAAAGTTGGTGATGCCATCCAACCTTCTTGTCCTCTGTCATCCCCTCCTCCTCCTGCCTTCAATCTTTCTTAGCATCAGGGTCTTTTCCAATGAGCCAGTTCTTTGCATCAGGTGGCCAAAGTATTGGAACTTCAGCTTCAGCATCAGTCCTTCCCATGAATATTTAGGCCTGATTTCCTTTACAATTGACTGGCTTGATCTTCTTGCAGTCCAAGGGACTCTCAAGAGTCTTCTCCAACACCACAGTTCAAAAGCATCAATTCTTTGGCACTCAGCTTTCTTTATAGTCCAACTCTCACATCCATACATGACTATTGGAAAAACCATAGCTTTGACTAGATGGACCTTTGTTGGCAAAGTAATGTCTCTGCTTTTTAATATGCTGTCTAGGTTTGTCATAGCTTTTCTTCTAAGGAGCAAGCATCTTTTAATTCATGGCTGCAGTCACCATCTGCAGTGATTTTGGAGCCCAAGAAAATAAAGTCCATCACTGTTTCTATTGTTTCCTCATCTATTTGCCTTAAAGTGATGGGACCAGATGCCATGACCTTAGTTTTTTGAATGTTGAGTTTTAAGCCAGCTTTTTCACTCTCCTCTTTCACGTTCATCAAGAAGCTCTTTAGTTCCTCTTCGCTCTCTGCCATAATGGTGGTGTCATCTGCGTATCTGAAGTTACTGATATTTCTCCCGGCAGTCTTGATTCCAGCTTGTGCTTCATCTGGCCCAGTATTTCACATGATGTACTCTGTATATAAGTTAAATAAGCAGGGTGACAATATACAGCCTTGATGTACTCCTTTCCAAATTTGGAACCATATCTTTGTTCCATGACTGGTTCTAACTGTTGCTTTTTGACCTGCATAGATGTCTCAGGAGGCAGGTAAGGTGGTCTGGTATTCCCGTCTCTTTAAGAATTTTCCACAGTCAAAGACTTTGGTGTAGTCAATGAAGCAGAAGTTTTTTTGGAATTCTCTTGCTTTTTCTGTGATCCAATGGATATTGGCAATTTGATCTCTGGCTTTTCTGCCTTTTCTAAATCCAGCTTGAACATCTGGAGCTTCTCAGTTCACATACTGCTGAAGCCTTGCTTGGAGAATTTTGAGCATTACTTTGCTAGCATGTGAGATGAGTGTAATTTTGTGGTACTTTGAGCATTTTTTGGCATGGCCTTTCTTTGGGATTGGGATGAAAACTGACCTTTTCCAGTTCTTGGCCACTGATGAATTTTCCAAATTTGCTGGCATATTGAGTGCAGCACTTTAACAGCATCATCTTTCAGGATTTGAAATAGCTCAGCTGGAATTCCATCACCTCCACTAGCTTTGTTCGTAGTGATGCTTTCTAAGGCCCACTTGACTTCATACTCCAAGATGTCTGACTCTAGATGAGTGATCACACCATCGTGGTTATCTGGATCATTAAGATCTTTTTTGTATAGTTCTTCTGTGTATTCTTGCCACCTCTTCTTAAAATCTTCTGCTTCTGTTAGGTCCATATCACTTCTTTCCTTTATTTTGAGCATCTTTGCATGAAATGTTCCCTTGGTATCTCTAATTTTCTTGAAGAAATCTCTAGTCTTTCCCATTCTATTGTTTTCTTCCATTTCTTTGAATTGATATCTGAGGAAGATTTTCTTTTCTCTCCTTGCTATTCTTTGGAAATATGCATTCACATGGATCTATCTTTCCTTTTCTCCTTTGCCTTTCGCTTCTCTTCTTTTCTCAGCTGTTTGTAAGGCCTCCTCAGACAACTATTTTGCCTTTTTGCATTTCTTTTTCTTGGGGATGGCTTGATTACTGCCTCCCGTACAATGTTGCAAACCTCCATCCATAGTTCTTCAGGCACTCTATCAGATCTAATCCCATGAATCTATTTGTCACTTCCACTGTATATGTCAATCCAAATCTCCCAATTTATCCCTCTGCCACCCTTCTGATGACCATAAGTTTGTTTCCTATATTCATGACTCCATTTCTGTTTCATAAGTAAGTTCTTTTGTATTATTTGCTTTAGAATCCACATATAAACAATATCATATGGTGTTTGTCCTTCTGTGTCTGACTTACTTCACTCAGTATGACGATCTCTAGGTCCATCCGTGTAGCAAATGACATAATTTTGTTCTTTTTATGGCTGAGTAATATTCCATTGTATGTACATACCACATCTTCTTTAGCCATTCCTCTGTCAATAGGCATTTAGACTTCATCCATATCTTGGCTACTATAAACAGTGCTGTGATGAACACTGAGGTGCATGTATCTTTTTGAATTATGGATTTCTTTGCATATATGCCCAGGAGTGGGATTGCTGGATCATAGAATAGCTCTATTTTAACTTTTTTTTAACAGTAAGGAACCTTCACACTGTTCTCCATACTGGCTGCACTGATTTACATTCTTATGAATGTAAGTGTAGATAGGAGGGTCCCTTTTTCTCCATATCCTCTCCAGCATTTATTTTTTGTAGAGTTTTTGATGATGGCCATTCTGACCTGTGTGTGGTGATACCTCATTGTAGTTTTGATTTGCCTTTCCGTAGTAATTAGTGATGTTGAGCATCTTTTCATGTGCTTTTTGGCCATCTGCACAGAGCAGATTCTGACTCTCTCCTTCCCTCCCCTGTGGGGAGCAGTAGGCAGCTGTCTGACTCCCTGCACTGAAACGGCTATTGCAAGCAGAAGGCTGCAGTTCCAGGAAAGATCCCAAGGGGGCACCCACCCACACTCTGTCCCACCTGTCTTTCTTTTTTAAAAAATTAATCACTTATTTATTTGGCTGCCTCCGGTCTTGGTTGCAGCACTTGGAGTTCTCATTGTGTCATGCGGGATCTTTTGTTGCAGCACACAGACTCTCTAGTTGTGCTGCTTGGGCTTAGTTGCTCCGAGGGATGGGAGCTCTTAGTTCTCTGACCAGGGATCGAACCCACACCCCCTGCATTGCAAGGAGGATTCTTAACTACTGGGCCATTAGGGAAGTCCCCTGAGTTTTCTGAGCTGATCATTTTCCTGAGCTAACCTGGATCTTCCTACAGCAAGCACCTCCTACTTGAGCCTTTACAACCTCCTGAACTTCCCTGCCGGCGTGGTGCCCGTCACCACTGTGACGCCACAGGATGAGAAGGAACTGGCCTTCTATAAAGGCTACTACAGAGATATCTTGGACAAAAATTTCCTGGAGGTCAGTTTCCCTCTGCCTGTTGGGGTGGGGTGGGGCCGGTCCCTCTTAGTGTTTGCTCTTTACCACCTCAGCTACAGTTTCACCCCATCACTGAAGACACACTATTTTGACCTCCAAGTCAGCCTTTGCCCTTGTCAGGGGAGAATACTGTGCAAAAGCAGTGGTTTCCCTGACACTTCTGTGGGGAAAGTCGGTCCCAGAGACAGGGCCGGTGAAACAAGGTGAAGGCTAGGAGGTTACTGTGAAGATTACAAGGTGAAGGGACTGGTTAGCAGGTCACTATGTAACTGAACTGGACACAGTTTTTTCTCTAGGAAGACAAGATTTGGGCTTCTCTTGTGGCTCAGTTGGTAAAGAATCCACCTGCAAAGCAGGAGACCTGCGTTCAATCCCTGGGTTGGGAAGATCCCCTGGAGAAGGGAAAGGCTACCCACTCCAGTATTCTGGCCTGAAGAATTCCATGGACTCTATACAGTCCATGGGGTCGCAAAGAGTCTGATATGACTGAGCGACTTTCACTTTCACTTTTTTTTGGTTCTACTTTCACTTTGTGGGGTTGTGCTAAAGGTTAAATCGAAAAAGACTGAAGCAATTAGCATAATGCCCTGTATGTAGGAACTGTTGAAAAAATGCTATTATTAATTCAGAGAGGGCTTCACAAGGAAATATTTCTATGGACCTATTGAATTCATGGCTTAAAATAACAGCTCTGACTTGGGTGGGAGAGAGGAAGAGAGAGAGGGAAAGAGAAACTGGCTCTGAAAAGTATGCATGTGTCTGAGTCAGACATTAAGTAACTTATTTTTTCTGGAAATTGATTTTAGTGCTAGAGTTACCCAGTGGAACTGCTGACCTGAATTCTGTGAAAATAACAATAATGATACTATCTAATGTGTCTTGAGCACTTACTCTGTTCCAAGAGCTGTTTAAAAGTGCTGTATATATATTAAATCATTAAATCCCATAACTGTCCCATGAGGTTTTGCAAACGAGGAAATGAAAGAACAGGCAGGTTAAGGGACTTGACCAAAGCCACATAGCCAGCTGAAGTGAAGGAGCCAGGACTCGAAGCCATGGGACCTGGCTCCAGAGACAAAAGCAAGTAAGGGCTTATATGGTATCTTAAAGCAATGAAAACATGTTTGAATGCCTACAAGTATGTTTGATTTTCATGGCAGGGACTCAGGCTCAACCTCCATGTTCCTTGAGCTGTGTTTGGTTGTCAAGGCACCCCTTTCCTTGCAGAAGTGCAATCAGGTCCTGGGTCAGGGATTTGCACATTCTCTTTTCCTTTGCTGGGGTGGATACTCAGTTTTATATTTCATCCTTAAAGTCAGCTGTCTACACAGGGAGCAAGTTTTCCATCCTAACCCTGGAGAATTGTAGCCAAAGCAGAACAGTTTTTCCAGGTTATGCTGAGAGCTGAGGAAGCCTGGAACTCTGAGATCCAGGGCATGTCTACTTTAATAAAGACTGGGGGTGAGATATTTGGATTAACACACACCTATGGGTGGTGAGGATGGCTGGGCAAGGGGCCTGTGAGCAGGAACCAGGCTCTGAGTCCATAGGCCCTCTCTCCCTGCAGGCGGTGAGAGGATCTGTGGGGCTTTCGGTGGCTGTGCAGTGTATCGCTTTGCCATGGGAAGAAGAACTGTGTCTCCGATTTATGAAGGAGGTGGAGACCTTGGTCAAGAACCAGATGGAACCCAAGTGACAAGACACTCCTTCTCCTGGAGGTCTTTCTACAACCTCTTCCAAGTCTGCTCTCAATATTCCTTCCTTCTCAAGAATACCAGATCTGCCTCATTTCTCCTCCTCCTGGAAGCCCACTAGAAGTTTTCTTTGTTGTCCCTCTGTGTGGCTGCTCAGTATACAGACTTCCCAGATTATCCCAGCATGGGGAGCAGGGTGAAGGGTTCAATAAACATTTTGACTGGCTGGCTTCATGATCTCTGGTCTAGATGGGGAGGTAGGGCTGTAGACTTCCTGTGGCCTGCTACTTCCAGCTGCTCTCCTCCAGTTCAGCCTCTGAGATGCTATCCCAGACTGCAGCAGAGGGGAGAAGGTCCCAAGCTGAGAGCTTGGAGACCTGGTCCAAATCTTGGCTCTGCCACTGGCTTGGTGTGTGATGCAAGGCAAGTTACTTCCCCTCTCTGGACCTCAGTCTTACCATCTACAAATTGAGGGGGTTAGATTTGATATAGTCTGTGCTACCTGCCAGTACTTGACTATTATGGGAGAGGTGATTCCTAGGCACGTTTCTAATCAAGAACTTGCCATGGCTCCCATTTTCTAGAGAAAGTTCCATAGAGCAAGGCCATGGGAGTGAAACCAAGTCAGAACACAGCCTGTGTTGGGAGTTAGTCCCCCACTCACAGTCCAGAACTTTGCCCATGAGCTGCTAAATTTTCTGGCCTGACACCCAGCACCTCCTGAGCACCTCTACAGGCTCTTCTGGCATGGCTCCACCACAGCGTAACCTCCCTCCTTTCTCTCAAACTGGAGCCCTCTTGCCAGCCCAAGGTGTGCCTGTGCCTCTGTCCATACTGTCCTCAACTACTGTCTTCACTGCCCTTCAAGTCCTGTGTCAAATGTCACTTCCTCCAGGAAGCCTTCTTTGAGCCCTCAATCTCCTCTATGATTTTCTGTTCACCTGAATTCTCTTGAGGTTCTCCTCCCAAAAAACTTCCCCTTCCTCTATCCCATTCCTCTTTGTAGCCCTACTTCCAATCAACTAGGCAAACTTATGAACTCATTCCTCCCTGTGTTTGATAGCCCAGAACTCCTGGAGATAATATCCCAGTGCAAATAAATGGAATTCACCCATCCATTCATTTATTCTACATTTGTTGAGTACCTTCTCAGGAACAAAAATGATGGAATTTTAGGCAGAAAAAGGCCCGTGTTGAACTAAGATGGAGACCCCAGGAATCATACTAAAAAGGCAGTTCTGACTCCACTTACAATAGAAACAACCATCTGGGGTGTCCAGGTGCAGGCTGGACAGGACTAATGCTGACCTCACCTTGGCCTCCACCTCTCTTTAGGCTCTAGCACAGAGTCTGAGATCTCTGCAGGAGAAGGATCCTCATGGTATCTTCTCAGTCAGGGTTAGTATGGCTCCTTCTCTGTCCTTCCTATCCCATAAGAGGGAGGTCTAATAAGGCCTTCCCAGATGGCTCAGCAGGTAAAGAACCTGCCTGCAAAGCAGGAGACCTGGTTCGATGTTTGGGTCAGGAAAATCCCCTGGAGAAGGAAATGGCAACCCACTCCAGTATTCTTGCCTGGGAAATCCTGTGGACAGAGAAGCCTGGAAGGCTACAGTCCATGGGGTCATAAAAGAGCACCACACGACTGAACACCAACACATACACCTTGTCAAGAGGCTCAGAGAAGTGGAGGAGCAGAGCGGTTTTCTGTCTCAAATGTCTCCTGCCTCCTTTCCCTACACCCTGCTAGCCGCACAAGTCTGGGCACCAGGGGGCAGCATTGAGCTTCACATAGTCCAGACATTACCTGGCCTTCTCGCTTGTCAAGACTTTCCCAGTCTTAGCTCCATACTGGGTGGTGTAGTGAGATAGGAGGACCAGGAATAAACCAGGTGCATTTGCAGATTTTAGGAGATGGGGGAAGAATCCTATTTTTGGCTAAAATTAGCTTGGGGAAAGGGAGTGGCAGATACCAGCTCAAGGAGCATAATTAAATGGGAACCCTTGCCCTGAGCCAGACTTCCCTACAGGCTGGGCTGCTCTCATTTCTCCTGAGCTGAAGTTTGGGGTCAACAACTGCCTTCCTCTCCAGCTCCAGCGCTGACCTCTAACCTCTCACTTCCTGCCAACACCTTCTTCAGCAGAAGCCTCTCCCCCCACCCCTACCTCCCCCAACCCTTACCTCCCCGCCCCCACCCCCACCCCCACCCCCACGCCCGTCTGCCTGACTGTAGGCAGGTCACTGGCCTTCTCAGAGCCTTTCTTCCTAGGGGCTTCTTCGAGGTGCTTTGGTGTATATGGAACCTCCAGAGACAGGGCATCGCCTGGCCCTCCTTTTCCCACTCCTATTACTTCCCATCGTGGGGAGCTTCATCTGGGTGCCCACAGGTCCAGGTTTTGGCTCTGCTTCCTCCACGGCCTTGGGCAAGTCTCCCAGCTTCTTCAAGCCTCAGTTTCTTCTGTAAGACGGAAATAATGATGGCATCTAAGTCCCAGTCACCGCCTCAGGATAAGACCTCCATAGAAGGTGAAGGCCAGGTGGGAGAGGAAGAGGGCTGCTCCTCCTTGGCCTGGGGGTCACCAGGGGGCGAGAAGTCGGTTCAGGTCTCCGAGTCTGTATCCAGAATCCCCAGCTCCTCCTGGGGGGCCACTCTGAGAGCTTTAGTGTGGTTCGCTCATGGAGAGGGGTTGAGCTCAGAGACAGGAAATCTCCCCAGGGGCGTGGTTGGTTCTACGGAGGCTGGGACTGAGGCCCCAGCCTAGGACCCTTTAGGAAGTGGGACCTGAGGTTCCGGCCCTGTTTCTGCGCTGTGGTATGCAGATAAGACCTATCTCCTTTCTGGGCCTCAGTTTCCCTTTCGGCTACAAGGGGAAGGGGTGTCCGTCTCCTCCCCATCCATCTAGAAGGTTCTGACGGTCCGCCTCGCTTCGCTGCCCCGGGCGCTGTCCGGGCCTCTGCGCCCCACTCCCCGCACTCAGATTTCATCCCGCACCAGTCTCGCGTGGGCCAGACAGACGGACCCAGCGGAGGCGGCCTTCCCCGCCCTCACCTGGCGGGACAGACGCCCGGACGCCACGTGCCCGAGTCCGGCCGGCTCCCGGCCGCTCCGCCGCTCGCAGCTCCGCGCACTGGCCGCCCCGCCCGCCGCCCTCCCCGGGCGCCCGCATTAAAGCGCATATGCAAGCCATGAATTATCAACTGAAAGGAGTCAATTACCGGCTCTAAAAACGAGTGTCTGCGCCCGGAGCGCCCGGGGCCATCCGCCTATTTACGGAGCGATTCCCCCCGCCCGGCCTCGGGAGGCAGAAGCGGGAGAGACGGCGTCGGAGACCGGGAGGGAGAGAGCGACGACGGGGAAGAGAGGCTGGAAGGAAGAGAGCCAGAGACCCGCAGAGACAGGGGGGCAAGACCGAGAGACAGAGATCTGGAGAAACGCGCCGAGAAGCGGACAGGCAGAGGTGGCTTGATTCCTTCTCCGCAGAGCGGGGGCGGTAGAGGTGGAGCAGCTCCTCCTCCCCACGTCCAGGTGGAGACCCAGGCCTCCTGGGCTGAGGGAGGCTGTACTGCTGGCTGGGACCCTGGGGGTAGATGTGGAGTTCGGATAGGGTGGGGAGCATAGTTCGCAGAGGAGCCTGTCCTGGCAGAAACTGGGGAGCAGGTTGCTGTGCAGTCAGGTGACCGGGAGCATTAGGTGAAGATCAGGGACGAAGTGAGGACAGAGCCTGATGCGGGGGTCTCTGGGCGGCCTCTCAGCACTGAAAGAGGAGACGTGAAACCAGCCAGCCCCAGGGGCTCAGGAAGTCTTATCTGCCTCCCAGGCTCTCCTCTCTGGAAACGTTTTTTCCTACTGGGCTGCTGCTCATTCTTTGACTCTGGGCCTCCCTAGCTGCTCTGCCTGCCTTAGCCTAAGCACACACTCCATTCTGTTCTATGACCCAGGTGTGACTTTTTCCCACGAAGTTTCAGTCAAGTAGCATAAGGGCAGGGCCTTGGTGAGTATTGTGCCCTGTGGAGGGAGCAACATACATCCGAATGGATGAAGGAGTGAGATGGGCTAGAGGGGCCTTTGGTCAGGTCTGAGACTGTGACCAAGACAAAGAGTTTGGATGGGAAAAGCCAAGTACAAACCACTCTGTGCAGATCACTTGAAAGGCTTCCAGCAACCCTGGTTCTGTACTGAGTTCACAGTCACTGAGTCTAGCACTTGCTCTGCAAAGGGTGAGGGCAGGAGCCGTGCCGGAGGGGAGGGGTTGGAGGCCAAGGAGCTTAGGCCTGGATCACCAGCACCAGCAAGTTGCTGCCCTGGCTCCCAGGGCTTTGCCTTTAGGGTTTCAGGGCCCTTTCTTCTGCCGTGGGTGGGGACAAGGAACCCCCAGAAAGGAGGAAGGAGTAGAGCTTAAAGGGCAGAAGGTAAAGTCTAGGTTTGGGAATCAAGCAGAGCCCCTTCTTTTCTAGCTGTGTGGCTTCTGATAGCCTCTTAACTTCTGAGCCTCAGGTTCCTTCCTGATAAAATGGGGACAATTCAATCCACTTTTACATGGGTGTTCTCATGTGTGCATAGCACTTTGCCTCAGAGGGGAAGACCCTGCCTAAAGTAAGACTAAGAATAGCTGCCACCTATTGAGGCTTGTGGGTGTCAAGCCCTGTGACTAGTGAGTTATCTTTCTCTTCTTTCCAACAGCTTTCTGAGGTTGTGAAGTCACTTTGCAGACAAGAAAATTCAAAGAAGGGCAGGGATTGGGGACTAGCAGCATCCAGGTTTGAAGTCAGGTCTGACTCCAGATCCTCCTTCATCCCTGTGCCCCAGGGCCTCCCAGATCTGGGACACCCCATCCACCCCCATCCTGTCCCTTCAGCCCCCTTCCAGTCTGACTGAGCCTAGGTCTACTGAGGGGGCCATGGAAAGGTGACCAGGTCAGCTCAGGTCTGGCAGAGGTGGCCCCTGGGGTCTTGTTCCCACCATGGTGGTGAGAGGGGCCAGCTTCCGGCCTGATGAGTCTGTAG